TTACAACTGCGTAGAGATTATGCAATCTCTCTAATCATTTCCTAATATAAAATTAAAAGCAACACTCACCCCAAAGGTATAGTTGTCAAGTCCATTACTTTCCTTTCCTGGAGCCATGTCAGGCTGTAGGTCCAGTTTGTGGTCTCCTGAGCCGAGAAACAAAACAGAGAAATGAAAACCATTAATCAGAGGGGAGGGATCAGGAGGAGCATCTGATAGAGGGGAGCTAGGAGCCGTACAGACGGGTCGGAGCAGGCGGAGGATTCTGAACGCGCAGAGTTCACACATGAGACTGCGGCTTTTGTTGATCAAACTGGATCCCACCTGCAGCTCATGTGAACCGAATTACAACAGAATCAGCAGCTGACCGCCCGGCATTTGGCTGGCGGGAGATAAAATCTCTCACCAAGAACTCTTTAGGCAAGAAAGTATTAAACGATTTAATTCCTCAGCATAGGTCATATAACTCTAAAGCTGAAGAAGCAGCAAATCTACCGTATGTGTTGACCTGTGCTCAGCTCTGCAGTCAGAGATGTTTAACAGTTAAAGGATACAGCCTTTAGTTTGACAAAGACTTCCCCCTCCCAGAGTTTCTTTCTAAACTTAACACCAAATGTTTGTTTTGGAGGGAAAACTTCTGCAGTGATCACATGTTGACAAATAATCACAAAGCGGGTATTGATAGATGACTAGAAAATGTTCTGTAGATGTTAATTTAATTTCCTAATTTACTGTATATTTCTACTTCCCGTAAAATGATAGTAAATCCGATTATATTGTTAGGAGTTTGATAACAGCCCACCACCACTTCATTAATGTGCTGGACAAGCAGCAGAAGCTCATCCTCACACTGCTTGCATCCATTTCTGTGTGCATGTCATATGATTATTAGTGCACATCTCTTCTTATTCCAAAATCAGGATCTAAGGCACGCGCTGGCAGCACAAAGACACCAGTGAAAAGCAACCAATGGAGCTCTCCGTTCTATCATTGTCCGGACATTTGAATTCTGCAAAGGTTTTTCTGAAGGAAAAGTCAGGTGATCACCAAAATGAGAAGGTTTCCATGTCAGGAAGAGCGGAAGTGTTAGAATTAAATTAGAAAATACAATTTTAAACTAGAATCCTGTGAGAAAGGGTTCATCCTGACTGCTCTGGAGTATTTAAATAGTTGAGATGGAATCTTGGAACGTATCCAACAAATAAAATAGCTGAAGAAAATTGAGCTCACATGAAACTTACAAAGCCAGGAGAGCAGCAGGAG